TCAGAATTTCCTGACTCTAAAGGCTATATAAGAACAAAATCTTATAAAGTTCATCTGGTTAAAATTAGCAAAAGTTCTATTTTACCAGTCTTTTGAAGGAGTTAAAATGGAAGTAGAATAAATCTACAGTAAGTCACAAAAAAACTAGCTGGGCATGGTGGCGGGCGTCTGTAGTTCCAGCTACTTGGAAGACTGAGGCGGAAGGATGGCCTGAGCCCAGCAGGTTGAGGCTGCGATGGCCGTGAGCATGCCATTGCGCTCCAGGCTGGGCGACAAAGAGTGAGACTCCAACTCAAAAAAAAGAAGAAGAAGAGGAAGTGAAAGAGCTCTCATGTCCCCTTCGTTCTGGGCCTCTTTCATTAGTGTCTCCAGTCTTTGACCCTTCCATTTCATCTTGTACCGTATTCTTGGTTATTTGTAGGTGTTCTCTCACCAACATCTTTGGTTATTTGCACCCCTATCCTCCTGCCTCAGTAACTACTACAATCCTGCTTCTCTCCTCCTTCATGCAAACAATAAAATGCAGTCAAAGGAGAATCACAAAGCAATACAGACTGCACAGCTTCACCTCAACAGGAATTGGCTTCTTTCTCATTCCTCTTAAAGTCTCTGCCAGATCGCTGTCACTGCCCACCACACTCAGTGGACTATTTTATCACTTCATAAGACATGGGTACCATGAACTCCCTCTGGTCTCTTGCAACAAGCAACACACCCACCCTCCCACCGCCTGTCTTTTTTTCCAGACTTACTGATGGGATTTTGCTTTTACTTACAAAGTGAATCCATCTCATGTGTGCTCTCATTTACATCCCCTTTCTTCTTAGCAACCTGGATTGTAAGTATTCCATTTCTTTTATGGTTTACTTTCAATTTATCTTTTTTTTTTTTTTTTGAGTCAGAGTGTCACTCTGTTGCCCAGGCTGGCGCACAGTGGCGTGCTCACGGCCACTGCAGTTTCGACCTGCTGGGCTCAGGCAATCCTGCCTCAGCCTTCCAAGTAGCTGGAACCTCAGGCACGTGCCACCACACCTGGCTAGTTTTTATTTATTTGTTGTAGAGATAAGGTCTCACCAAGTTGCCCAGGCTGACCTCAAACTTTTGGACTCAGGCAATCCTCTCACCTCAGCCTCCCAAAGTGCTGGGATTATAGGTGTGAGCCACCTCACCCTGCCTCAATTTATCTTAATGGCTGTCTTTCTCTACAAGCCTATAAATATCTTCAGGTCTTGGCTATCCTGAAAATTAAGTAAACTAATAATCAGACACTGCAATAACAAGAACGCTTTAGCTGTGTTCTAATATTTTCTGTCTCATTTTCAAGCCTCAAAGAGTCCTTCATATTCACTATCTCTACCTTGTCACACTTTATACTACTTCCAAAATAAACTTAAGCTGATAAAAAAATATAAAATTGTAAAAAAAAAAACAAAATAGAAGTTCACATTTTTTATGTGTTTGAGGGGAAAGAAGAATTGCAAAGAAAAAATATTTCAAAAATAACATTAAGACTTTAGTGTAAGGAGAAGTTGTATAACTAAATAAAACTTGAAATATCTCGAGAAAATACTTGCAGTAACTGTGATAGAGGATTAATACCTGTATGAATCTAATGAAATTGATTTTTTTTTTTTTTTTTAGTGAGTCTCTCTCTGTCGCCCAGGCTGGAGTACAATGGCTTGCTCATAGCCACCGCAGCTCGACCTGCTGGGCTCAGGCCATCCTTCCGCCTCAGCCTTCCAAGTAGCCAGAACTGCAGGCACATGCCACCATGCCTGCTAATTTTTTTAATTATTGTAGGGATGAGGTCTCTCCAAGTTTCCCAGGCCGGTCTCGGGCTCAGGCAAATCCTCTCACTTCAACCTCCCAAAGTGCTGGGATTATAGGTGTGAGCCACTGCGCCTGGGTGAAATTGCTTTTTTAAAGCAAGTTCTCAATAGATAAATGTCCAGTGACTCTGAACCAACAATTCTTCAAAAAGGAAAATAAAAATTTAATAATCAACATAGAAAGTATTCATTTTGCTAGTACATAATGAGACATAGTTTTGTATCTCCTCTTTCTAAAAAAAAAATGTACTCGTGAGGTTTTGAAACTTATATGCATACATTTCTACTGGCATATAGATTTGTATAACCCCTTGAGAAACCAATTTTTCTATAATGCATTAAGTGATATGAAAATGCATATGACTTTGGTCCTGTTACAGCCACCTTAGAGATTTATCTTCCAAGGGAATCATTCAACAGGCTATTGTGTCATTATTCTTGAACCATGCCAGGCATTGGAGTTATAGAAATGTAGAGAAGACACATATGCACTCTTGAAGATGTCAGCAAGCCATCTGGTAGAAGTTAGTAAAGGCTTCACAGGGAAGGAACTGCTTGAGGTAGCCCTGAAAGGATGAGTGGAGTTAACCAAGCATCTACAAGGAGATAATGGTATCATAAATGATGGCTTGTGTCTCACTGAAGCTGGGCATAGGATTAGATAGGGGAGAATTGAGAAATGAAGCTGAAAAAACAAACCAGATTTTATACAGATCTAAGAAATTTGGAATTTATCATGAAGATGATAGGGAGCTTTTGGAGAACAACAGAGTAAGAAATACAGTCAGATTTGCATTTGGCTGACTTTATGGAGGTTCAGATGGAAGATGGCCAGTTTAGTAGTAAGGAGATGAGTTAGACGGTATGGAGGTGGTCCTAGGGAAGGGATTGAGAGCACCTGAGTCAAGGCAGTGGCGAAGAAATAGAATCGAAATAGCTGTTAAAGATTTAGCGGGCGAATGGGTTGTATGGTACGGTTTTCTGTGATACGACATATCTTAAGCAACCTACTGGGAAAAAGACTAAGTTGGGAGAGGGAGAGGTAAAGGTAGGTAAAGTAGGCTTTGCATTTAGTTGGCAGCCCAGCCCTCCATCTCATAGCCTTCTTGGTTTGTTTTTTAATGTTAAGGGCATAGAGATTACCTTCCTTTGGGCAGGTATTTAGCCGTGATTCTTATGGAGATATGTTCCCTTGATGATACAACCGGTATAAAAACCATAAATTCAACCAGCCATCGAATATTTTTAAAACTTGAATACCTTATTTGAAAACATGGGCTGGACTGTTATACATAGAGAGAACGTGGAGTCATTTGATTGGGACTATGTCCCATTGCATCTGTGATCTTCTGTATGCTACTGTGAGATGTCCCACGTGTTGACCTGAGAACAGAATGGTCTCGGCTGCAGCCGGGGCTTCTGGCTTCTCACAGGAGCCAGGCCGCTTCCTCCCCACCACGCTCCCTGTGTACCCTAAGAGGAAGCTTGTGAAGTCTGGCTCCAAATAAAGTACTCTGTCAGAACAAGATAAACTTTCAGCTGTTTCTTCGCTAGCCAAGAACGGATTTTCTGCCTTTTGGCTTCATTTTTATAAATCCTTCAAAAGAAATCTTTAAGTAAAAGTATCATGTATGGGTGTGTCTGAGTCTCTGTCTTGTAGTGGTGCAAAATCTTCTTTAAAACAATGAAGCTATAGTGAATTGGGGCCTGTGGTATAAAGGTGGTTAAATAGCGACATAATTGAAAACAAATAAGCTCTGGTTAGCAAAGGTTTAAACAACCAAAAAGTTCAAATAAACATGACTGTTTTGAAATACATAATAATAGTTTCTTCATAAGGTTGATGCTGAAGCACTGTGGGATCCTGAAGTTACCAAATGATGGACAGCATAGTTTGTCGTTGAATATATTTCTTGTATTCTGTTCTGCCATTAATAATCAATGTATAGCATATAAAAACTCTTGATTGAATTCATCACCTAGAATTTTGAACTGCTATTTTTGGGAAAAAGTTTTCAAACAAACTTTCATTCTAAAAAAGACAGGCTGGGCACGGTGGCTCACGCCTATAATCCTAGCACTTTGGGAGGCTGAGGTGAGAGGATTGCCTGAGCCCACCAGTTCGAAACCAGCCTGGGCAACTTGGCAAGATGTCTCTACAATAAATTAAAAAATCAGCCAGGCATGGTAGCACATGCCTGCAGTTCCAGATACTAGTAAGGCTGAGACTGAAGGATCACCTGAACCCAGAGGTCGAGGCTGCGGTGGCCATGAATGTGCCACTGCACTCCAACCTAGGCGACAGAGTAAGACTCCAACTAAAAATAAAAATACAAATACAAATAGAAAAGACAAATAGGTATACTTTACAATCTGTAACTTCTGTGTAATCTCATATGTATCTACATCTAATGATGAGATACGGAATGTAACAAAGTGGTAACTGAATGAACATTTTTTAAAAATTCAAAATCAAAAACAAATTACTATGACAAATTTGACAAAGGTCTTTAATAATAGCAGTTAAAACACAACTAAAATAAAATTAATCATACCAATAAAACTTATTGAAAGAAAGTTTAATTTTATATGATATATTTCAAATGAATAGATGATTAGGATAATGAAAATATTCTTTTTTTCCCCTGGCAAAATTCTGGATAAACAGATGTCTATGCATGGTTTTCCAAGTGGTTTTTTTTTTTTTTTGTAGCCAATAAGTAAATCACGAAGTAAATAACTGTATTCCTAAACATTTAGATTACATTATTGATTTTTAAAATATCTTAATATGACTTCCATGCTATAAAGAAATTCTTGAAACATTTTATTTGCCTACTTTATATTAGTGAACTATAATCTTCTTACTTCATTTTCTTATATAGATGACTAGAAAGGCAACTTGTTAGTAAGTACTCAGGTGTCTGTGTAATAAAGATGCATTCTGAGCTCGTGATTTCTAAAAGTAAATTTTTTTCCCCCAGGAAAAGTGAGATATATCTTAAGTTATACCAAGTCCATTTCTTTTTTGCATAAAACATCTGCTGGTCATATGCTAACCCTATTGTGTACACATACTGGTTATTCTACAAAGCCATCATTACATCATTAGCATGGAGCTATGATTATATTTATCAGGTGGCATTGACACTCACCCACTAAAGACAAACCATTGTCCTTAACTCCGTGCTGTCATCAGAGACATGAAAATCCATCTAGAGAAAAATCTGGAGGAGGAGCGCCGGATGTTACTGCAGCAACAAAGACTATGTCGAAATCGAGCACGTAGATACTTTGTGGAGTCAAACCGAAGGAAAAAGTAAGTCACTGAGTTTTATTTAGAAGTGTGGAAGTTCAAAGTCAGCATAAGTAGGAGTTTCTCTACTTTGTAGCATCTTATTAACCTCAGTCATGACGGTGCTTTATCTGTACAACACTGATGGAGACTCGTGAAGCTCTGTACATTTCATTATTGCTTTTCTGCCTGAAGCACTAGGATGGTGGTGTATTGCCTGGTTTTCAGACTGTGACCATAGCAGTCTTTTTTTTTTTCCCTTTAGTTGTAGAATAGCTTTTTATAGTGTCATACACACTTCTTTAAATGATTATAAAATGTGTTATTGTCTTTGTTTTTTGTATTATTTCATGATGAATTTTTTAAATGCCAGTTAGTAGTTAGTCTCTGTTAGAAAGTAGTTTGCTTTGGATGTCTTATTCACTTCTGTATAATTTTTCTGTATGTGCCACCCTCATTCAATCGATCAGCAGAATGGAGGGAATAATGACGGAAATGTGAATAGAATAGAGTTTTGTAAGTGACTGCTGAAAGAAAGATCTTTCTAGTGTAAACCAGAAATTACAATAATGTAAAGATGCAGACTGTCCAATCACTGCTTAACATTTTTCAGGATATTTTTAAGTTGTTAGATTTTTTTGAGAAAGAACAGTTGTACCATTTTGTTGTCGTTTTTGCTGCCTTGTCCCTATTTCTACAATACATGAAAATCCCTCGGGTTTATTAACTACATCATTGGGCATATGTTGCAAATCCCATTTGGAGAATACAAAATTATTTACCTGTCATTTTTTTCTGGCCTTATATTTCTCTTTAGATTAACTTGTTCATTGTCTGATGTCGTTGAAATTATTTAACAAAATTTATTTTGCTTTTGTTGTGCATGTATATGTTTCTGTTTTTCTCCTACCTTTGGGCTCCTGATGCCAATAACAGGCCTGTGACAGTTGTTCAGTGAAGATGAATGATGATATGTTGAAAGGGTAATGGACTTTAGAGTCAGAAAATTAAGAAATACTAGGTGAGGGCAAGTTTACGTAGTCTCTTTGAGCCTCAGATTTATCATTTATGATTGGAACTTAACATCTACTTCAAGGAATTGTTACGGAGAGCCAAAGAGGTAGAATTAGTGGAATATTTGAGAGTATGTGTAAAAATATCACTACGTCTGACACCGTGCTTTTGGCTTGCTTATTTTATTGATAAATTAATATTTGTCCATTGTTTCTTTTTTCTTTTTTGAGTTGGAGTCTTACGCTATCACCCAGGCTGGAGTTCAGTGGCACACACGGCCACCATAGCCTCTACCTCCTCAGATTAGGCGATCCTTCCACCTCAGCCTTCCAAGTAGCTGAAACAACAGGCATGCGCCGCCATGCCCAGCTAAATCTTTGATATATTGTAGAGATGAGGTCTCGCCAAGTTGCCCAGGCTGGTCTCGAACCCATGGGCTCAGGCAGTCCTCTCACCTCAGCCTCCCAAAGTGTTGGAATTATAGGTGTGAGCCACTGCGCCCTGCCCTGTTTATTTTTCAATAGTGACATGCTTTGTGAAATGGCAAGCTTTATATATGGAATTGCATTTATAAAGTTTCTATTTGTGTTTTCTCATCAAACAGTCATAAGAATTCTGATGTAGAAAATAGGACAAGTTTTGGTTTAAAATTCTAAGAGGCTGGACGTTTTCCAATATAATTTTATGTTTTATTTTTCTGTTACCCTGAAGTGAAATGTAAAGACACATCAAATTTTCATTTAAAATACTAATCATTTGACTCTCTTTCACCTTTTATAAGCAGTCTTTTTGACTCTGCCATTATCTATCCATTTATACTTTACATCATTAAGTTTGTGCTGTCCACTCACTTTGTGGTCACAGATACTTTTTCTTAAAGTATCTTTTTCTTTGGCTACATGTTTGTGACACGGGCATGTGGCCAACTGGGCTTCCGGGCATCCCATCCCCCGAACAGTGAACTTGCCTCTGATACTGAGCTTCTGAACACCAGCCCCTTGCCCGGCAGCCTCCGTTTCGTGTCCCTGTGTGTATTATTTCCATCTTGGTGTCCATTAGGCTCACATATCGGTGAGAACATGCAGTGTTGGTTTTCTGTGTCTGAGTTAGTTCATTCAGGATGACGTTCTCCAGTTTCACCCGTGTTCCTGTAAAGGACATGATTTAGTTCTCTTTTTTATGGCTGTGTAATATTCCAGGGTGTATATATACCACATTTTCTTTATCCAGTCAATTGTTGATGGGCATTTAGGTTGGTTCTGTGACTTTGCTGTGGTGAATAGTGCTGCAGTGAACATATGAGTACAGGTATCTTTTTTATATAATGATTTATTTTCCTTTGGGTAGATACCCAGTTGTGAGATTGCTGGGTTGAATAGTATTTCTAGTTGTTGCTCTTTGAGAAATTTCTACACAGTTTTCCATAGAGGTTGAACTAGTTTACATTGTCATACACAGTGTATGAGCATACCCTTTTCTCCACATTCACATCAACATCTGTTCTTTGACTTTTTAATGATAACTATTTTGAGTGGTGTGAGATGTTATCTCATTGTGGTTTTAATTTGCATTTCTCTGATGATTAATGATCTTGAGCATTTTTTCATATGTTTGTTGTCCGCTTGTGTGTCATTTTTTGAGAAGTGTCTATTCATGTTCTTTGCTCACTTTTTGATGGTTTTTTGTTTTGTTGTTGTCGTTGTTTTTTGAGAAAGCAGGATTTATTGAGAGGACAGAAAAGCTCCCACAGTGAGAGGGAACCCGAGGGGGTTGTCCGATGGGTTTTTTAAATATTGAATTGTTTGAGTTCCTTGTAGATTCTGGATATTAGTCCTTTATCTGAAGCATAACTTGCAAATATTTTCTCCCATTCTGTAGGTTTTCTCTTCATCCTGTTGATTATTTATTTTGCTGTGCAGAAGCTTTGTAGTTTAATTAATTTCCGTGTTTGTTTTTGTAATATTTGCTTTTGGGGTATTAGCTATAAATTATTTGTCTAGACCAATATTCATAAGAGTTTTTCTAAGTCTTCTTCCTGGATTCTTTAAGTTTCAGGTCTGAAGCTTAACTCTTTAATCCATCTGGAATTAATTTTTATACGTGGTGAGAGTTAGGAGCCCAGTTTCATTCTTCTGCATATGGCTAGCCAATTTTCCTAGCACCAATTATTGAATAGGGTGTCCTTTCCCTATTATTTATTTTTGTAAGCTTTGTTGAAGATCAGTTGGTTTTAGGTATGTGACTTTATTTCTGGGTTCTCTGTTCTATTGATCTATATGTCTATTTTTGTAAAATTAGGCAGTGCAGTGCTTCTGCATTTGCTCTTTTTATGTAGGATTGCTTTGGTTATTTGGGCTCTTTTTTATTCCGTGTAAGAATTCTATTAAAAATAACATTGTTTACTCGATAGAAATTGAGTTGAATCTGTAAATTGCTTTGGGCAGTATGGTCATTTTAACAATATTGATTCTTCTGATCCATGAGCATGAGATGTTGTTTCATTTGTGTCTTCTACAATGTTTTTCATCGGTGTTTTGTAGTCTTGTTGTAGAGAACTTTTACCTCCTTGGTTAAATGTATTTCTAGATTTTTGTGTGTGTGGCTATTTTAAATTGTATTGAGGTCTTGATTTGGTTCTTGGAAAGTGTTATTGTCATATAGAAATGATACTGATTTTTGTACATTGATTTTGTATCCTGAAATTTTACTGAAGGGGTTTTCTAGGCATGCAATTGTGTCATCAATGAACAGAGATAATATGACCCTCTTTTTCCAATTTGGGTGTCTTTCATTTCTTTTTCTTGCCTGATTGCTCTAGCTAGGATTTCCAGTACTTAGTTGAATAGGAGTCACGAGAATGAACTGAAACTTGTCTTGTTTCAGTTCTAAAGGGGAATGTTTTCAACTTTTCCCCATTAAGTAGGATGTTGGCTGTGGGTTTGTCATATGTGGATCTTATTTGGAGATATGTTCTTTCAGTGTCTGGTTTGTTGAGGGATTTTATCATGAAGGGATGCTGGGTTTTATCAAATGCATATTCTGTATCTGTTGAAGTGATTATATGGTTTTTGTTATTAATTCTATTTATAAGGTAAATCACATTTATTGAATTGCAGATATTGAACCATCCTTGCATCCCTAGAATAAAACAGCAAGTTATAAAATTATTTTCCACTTTTGGGAAAAAGAAATTCCAGCATGGTATTTTTCCAGAAAATCACATCCATTTTGGTGATTAAGGCGGAATTAACAAACAAAAAGCAGTGGGTATATACAGAGAGCCAAGGCAGAAAGGAAATCAGGTGAAACAAAAGCAATTAAAGACTTGCTGAAAACTCTCACACACAAAAAAAACAACTGTCTTAGTCATGATGAATTATCTTTCTGATGCGCTGTTGAATTTGCTTTGCTAATTTTACTGAGGATTTTTGCATCTATGTTTATTAGGGATATTGGCTGTAGTTTTTTTCTTCCTCTCTCTCTCTCTCTCTCTCTCTCTCTCTCTCTCTCTTTTCTTGTGTTCTGTCCTGATTTGGTATCCTGGTAATACTAGCTTCATAGAATGAGTTAGGGAGGAGTTCTTCCTCCTTCATATTTTGGAATATTTATGGTAAGATTGGTACCAACTCTTCATCATATGTAAAATTTGACTGTGAATCCATCTGGTCCAGGGCTTTTTTGTTGTTACTGTTGGGAGATTTTTTTTTAATAACTGATTTAATTTCATTTCTCACTATGGTACAATCTTTTTCTATCTATTTCTTCCTGGTTCAGTCTTGAAGGTTGTATGTTTCCAGGAATGTATCATTTCCTCTAGGCTTTCCAGTTTGTTGCCATAGAGACGTTTCTAGTCAGTCATCTCTGATGAGCTTGTGTGTTTCTGTGTTATCAGTTGTAGTGTTACCTCTGCCATTTCTGATTGTACTTATTTGAATTTTCTCTCTTTTTTTCTTGACTAGCCTAGCTAGCAGTCTGTCCAATTTTTTCTCCTTTCAAAACACCAACATTTT